AGGGTAATGATAATTGCGCGTTATTTTCACCTTGTTGTGCCATCTGCAAACTAACTTTGCTTCGTCGGGGTCACCAGTTTTAATGTTTGTGTTTATAAAAATGGTTTTATTAACTTATTTTACAATAAAAACTATACTCCACAAGTGGACTGATTGCTGCTGGTGGATGCTGCTGACACGTCTAGTCCGCTCGGAATCCGTGAGAAAAAGGGAAGAAATGAAAGATGAAGGAGAATGGGGTTGCTTATAACTTTAAACATAAAAATGTAGTAAAGGTTGCCGGTAGTGTTGTGCGTTTGACGGTCGGTAACATAGTACAACCAGAGAACTTAAAACAATGAGAAGGTGCAGGTTCGACAGCGAACAATTTGTAGGAATTTATCAAGGAGTTCACCACAGATGCACGAGAAACAAATAACATAACTGGGAATATTGATATGCTATTTGAAACATATTCCTTTTATTGAACTATTATTTATAATACAAATGCCACTTCACATATGCATGATTATTTTTGCCATATAAACGATTTTATGATGAAAAATTGATAAATTATTATTTTGCACAAATTACATTGATAAAATGTGAAAGATTATGCAAAAATGATATTTTACTATTTTCATAATTTTCTAATTTCAATTTTACAGAATTAATAATTTATGTATGTACATCAATATGTTATATTATATAATATAATAATATCAATTATCAATAAAAATATGTGAGCGCACTGCTCTATATGTAAGTATGTATACATAAATATGCATATGATCGCAAAATTATTAATGCATACACAAATCTACATATCATTTAAGCAGCGTACAAATGTAAGTACGTCAGCCAATAAGAAAATACAAAACATTGTTGTACAAAAACAACAATTTCTCAAATAGCATCAGCACCAGAAATCAATATAGCAGCCAAATTGAACAAACTCCTAAATTGTAGTAAATCACACACCAACAACTTATTTTCATTTCATGAACGCTGGCGCACAAGCAATAAGCTAAGTCGTTCATTCATATAAAGCAAACGCCTTACACATCTCCCCGAGCGTTTGCCCACAAGCGTCTTTCGCGACGATGGCAAAAGCTAAAAATCATAAATTGAACAAATTTTGATATTCCCTCTAGAAGGAAAAGTGACAACCCTCAAATATGAGTATTAAATATTTTAGAATAAAAGTGACAACATAGTAAATTTGTGATTTACAATTCAGAAACTTTTAGAAAATATTCAATATTCCTCTGATTTATGTATACAGTAAACTCCGGTTAGATCACCCTCCAATCCTCTTATCTGCCGTGTCTTGCTGCATCTCACTTTTCTTAATTTTAAAGAAAAGGTAATTTTTAAATACATAGAAATAATTTTGGTACCACTCGCTTAAGTACCACAATCGCTTATGTACTACAAAGCACACAAATCTGCATCTTTGGTTTTGCACTTAACCGGGATTGACTGTATTTGTCAAAACAATACGTAACCCCT